GGATGACTTGGGCATATTGTATAAAAATGATCTTAATTTATTAGATTTAAATGAAAACATGACACTAAATAGGACGCAATGGAGAAAATAGGATTCTCGTAGCCGACCACACTTAGTTGGATAAAGGTTCTGTTGTTGTTTACATATATATATATGTATGTGTGTGTGTGTGTGTGTGTGTGTGTGTGTGTGTCTCTCTCTCTCTCTCTCTCTCTCTCTCTCTCTCTATATATATATATATATATATATATAAGAAATGGCGATCTGCTCTGCTAAGGTCTGCGTGTGTGTGTGTCTCTCTATATATATATATATATATATATATAAGAAATGGCGATCTGCTCTGCTAAGGTCTGCACTCGATGACGACGACGACGCAGGTTTCTGCACTCGATGACGACGACGAAGAAGGACTCTACCTTGCGATCATCATCTTCTCTTTCCCGCCAAATGACGAAGGGCTTCGGCGTTTGTTTCTGCAGTTTCGTCGTCTCCTCCTTCGTGCCTTCCAGCTATCTTTTCTTCGTGGATCGAGTTGCGGTTGTCTGCCAAGCTGCGATTTCGTTGCTCTGTCTTCTGCGCATTTCATCTGCGGTTACTGTCTTCTGCACAGCTTCGCCCCGAACTCGTCTTTATTGCTCTATGCCCGACTTGTAGGGCTCTCTTTGCTGTGATGGGGCTTCCTTCTTCGGTTGAACCTGACAAAACATTCTTTGCCCACGTAGTGGGTAATCCTCAAGGAGAGACGGCGGTTATTTTCCCTTCAAGTTGTAAGGAGCATCGTGATGGTACATGTGACTGTCCCTTTATTAAGAATGCAAGCAGGAAAAGTGGGAAGACAACACTTTTTTTTCTCTACGTCAGAAATTTCAACGCTGACTGACAAATTCAAATTTGCTCTTATTGAAAAAGTTCAGTGGGGACACCCACCTATGGAAATTATCAGGAAAAGTTTTGATGACCTCAAATGAACAGGAAACTGGAAAGTGTGGCTCATGGATGTGAGACATGTATTGATTCAATTAACCGTGCTTGAGGACTACACGGATTTTTTACAGAATATATCTTAACATCACTGATAAACCTATGAAGCTACTCAAGTGATCTTTTGATTTCATCCCAAATTATGAAACTCCCGCTGTACCGATGTGGTTTAGTTTACTTGTCTCAAGCTGCATTTTTTTCACCATCTGTTTCTATACTCTATTTGGGTCATTCTTGAGATCCTTTGAAGCTAGATCTTCCTACTTTCAACTTGATCAGACTCTCGGTGGTCAGAATATTTGTGAAAAGGGATATTACTTTTCTTGATGTTACTGAAGTCTGGCTGGGTTCAACCCATAATGATTATTGGCAATAAATCTTCATGGAGCACAAACCCTCATATTGTACCCACTGTAAGATGTTACGGTCATGTCCTTAATAAATGCCACAAGTTTCATCCAAATTTGAAATTTAAGGTTCAAGTGAATAAGGATGGGTCTAACCCCACTGTTCTAGACATTTTAGTTATATATGGGGAGGATGCTACCAGACAGGAGGTGTCTGTTGCCTCTGAGGCCCCCCCTATGGCACTGCTGTTACTGTTACTGCGAGCGATGTGATGCTGACACCTTCAAACCCCATAGAAAACAATACTGATGCACTATTACCTACAAATGTTAGTGTTCAAACTGATAATCAAGAGAACATCGTAGCTCCACTTCTTCAGGAAATATCCGGTGTAGAGGCAACTCATACTTCACATATACTAGAATCTATTGTGGGTACTACGGTTGGTATTCCTACTGCTTCAACTCTACCACCCATCTGACTGATTTTTCGGAAGAGGAATGACATGTCTATTCCAGGAGGAGGAAGAAGAATGGAGGACGACTCCAGCTCGGGAATATATTGGATGATACATTGGTTACTATTGGCAATGACAATCATCTTATCAGCTTATTAGCGTGCGTCTGCCCTAGAATTAGAGGCAGAGGCAAGACCAAATTGGGTCGCTCTCTAGCCACCTGATACTATATATTTCGACACTGTTAGGTTTTTTATTTAAGTATCTAATGTATTTTTCTGTTTTTTTTAGTTTTGGAATCATTTATGATTTTTGTGTGGGCATGGTGCCATGTTTGGATCTTCCCACACATTGTATATGTATCTTTCATTCTATTTAATATATTAGCCTTTTTAGGCCCTCCCACACATTGTATTTGTATCTTTCTTTCTATTTAATATATTAGCCTTTGTTGGCTTTCAAAATGTATATATATATATATATATATATATATAAACATATACATATGTGCGTGCACGCGCGTTTGTGTGAGCAAAAATAAGTGACTTTAGAGTCGCTCATAGTTCAATTGCAGTTTTTGTCTTGAGCTTATGTTTGCTACAGTGCTTCGCTTGTTAATTTTTCTCTTGTGAGATCAGCGGTATGCAATGTACTTCAAGTTGATATTATCCAACGTCTTATCTGTCATCCATCATTTTTTTCATTGTGATCAATCAAATTGATCACCGGGGCCATTTTTTAGTAGTTTCAATGCTCTCAATGTATGAATGCTATTTATTTCACAGAAGGGCCATGATTGGATACTTTTTATGTATGTGATGCATTTTGAACTAGTTTCAGGTTTCATGTGACAATATGTTAGACATCCGTCATTTTCATTATATTCGACTAAATTGAATTATGAAACATGCCAGGAAGTTAGCATCTTGTAGGAACAATATTTTTTTGAATTTCTTCAAGGAAACATGATTAGCCTTTTTGGATGAAAAGTCATGATTTTAAGGGTCAGTTCCTTTTGAAATGGGAATTGATGCATTTTCAACTTGACCTCGTGCAAGTTTCTACCTTTATTTGATTTTAAGATTTACTTCATTTGTAGTTTGACTTCTACTTTTATATTTATTGTGTTCTTTTTTTACTCAGTCCTAGAAAGGGGAAGATTATGCTCTACTTTCTATTCGTGGTTTTCCGTTGCCTTTATTTTTTATTTTAGTGGTTCTGGTAATTACAAGTCTTGCTCTCTGATGTAGTATTAATAGTTGTTTTTAAGCTTTATGTATGTATTTCAGTAAAATTTATTATTTCTTTAGGATTAAAACTTGTCGAAAAAAATCATGACACGAAACCTTTTATAAAAATGATGACACTAAATAGGACGCAATGGAGAAAAAGGATTCATGTAGCCGACCCCACGTAGTGGGATTAAGGCTTTGTTGTTGTTGTTGTTGTTTAGGATTAAATTGTGAAGGCTGCAAGTGAAATACGTGTGGAGAGAAATGTGATTGCTTTTTAAAAAAAAAATTAATTTGAGAAACCTAAACAAGTGGTTTTGTTTGGCATACATCTAACTAACATAAGTGAGATGCACAATTATTTGTTTTAGGTAAAGCCCGTAGTTGCTGCAAATGCAGATTATTGTCTAAATAAAGGCAAATCAATGGGTAATGGAAGAAGTACCCTGGATTTGTTTTATATGGAGTTTCATGCAAGTTTAAACTCGCAATCTTTTATAAAGAAGTGTACCTTGCTTTAAATGTATATTCAGTGACCAGGTCGTTAACTTCAACGACAATTTTATGCCAGTTGTCATCGTTTTGCTTCTGTTGTTTTAATTAGAGAGGCTACCGTGACAGATGAATTTCATATAGAAGGGTTCATCTGTACCTTGGTTTTTATTTCTTTTTGAATGCTTTATTTATTGGCTTTTTTTGTATTCTTTTGGTTTCCTTGATACATAAATATGATTTAACCAGATAAAACGCCCTATTTCCTATGGTCTAATTTATTATGGAAGTCATTGAAAGGTCCACTCATCTTTTATCACACGCCTTTGGCATCGATATCCAACTAATATAAGGTTTATGTAGAATCACTAAATAAGACCATTTAGATATTACAATCCAATATCTTTGTTATTTTGCAGCTGTCCTTGATGTTATTCTTAGCTGGAAAGCAAGAAGAAGCATGTCTTATGCGGTTAAACTGAGATATATTTTAAAAGTTGCTTCATCTGTAGTATGGGTGATAATATTGCCAGTGACATATGCTTACACCTGGGAAAATCCTACTGGACTTGCAAGGACTATCAAAGGCTGGCTTGGGAATGGTCAAAACCAACCATCTTTATATATTTTGGCTGTGGTGATATATCTGTCACCAAATATGCTTTCGGCTCTGCTATTTCTTTTTCCAGTTGTGCGAAGGTTTCTTGAAAGTTCACACTACAAGATAGTGATGCTCATGATGTGGTGGTCTCAGGTACTGTAAGCTTCTTGGTTGTAGTTGCTTATACAAGCTTTTTTTTTTTTATGAATTTGTATTTGTACTGGAAAGCAAAATCTATTCATTGCTTCTATGATTTTTTTCTTAACTATATGGAGACTTTTTTAGTGCTTTATTGTTAAAAGGAAAAAAAAACTCCCGTAATGCTTATTATTTCTATACTTGCAGCCTTGTCTCTTCATAGGAAGGGGAATGCATGAAAGCTCTTTCTCACTTTTCATGTAAGGAAATGAAATTTTGGTTATATATTTTGTTGTACAGTAGCTACAGTTTCACATCTATGGCTAATTTCCCTTTCAGGTATACAATGTTTTGGGTGATTCTTATAGCGACGAAGCTGATATTTAGCTACTATATTGAGGTACATCAAATTTTCTGTTCATACTTGGGATGTTTACAGTTAATTTGACTATACTTGCAATGATTTGATTGTTTCTATGGGTTAAGAATGAATAGATTGCCTGATTGATTGGCATTCGCTCCAGCCTTCATACAATTTTTTTCCAAATTGTTAAAAAGTTATTCATTTGGTACAAGTGCTGAAGTCTGGTGGTATTCTACATGCCTAAGACATGCAGTTTTTAGATTTTTGGGTTCTAGAATGGAAATAAGATTTTATTTATTGTTTTATGTATTGTTTCTGTATAACCAATACATAGAAAGTTTTATGTAGTATTTAAGATCTATTAAAAATAATGAAGCAATTCCTCATAAAGTTTGATTTGCCTTTCACACTTTGATAACTTTTCCATTATCATGATTATGTTAGGTCACTCTTAATATGTGACATTTATGAGAACTTGTCCATTAGCATTATTAAGTTAGTTCACTCATAACATGTGACCTTTATGAGGAGTTGCATCAAGCGGATGAAGCCATGGAGTCTATTTCGCTAGAATGAAGAATATCTCAGTGGATGATAGTTCGGGCTATTCAGATCTACGAGTAAAGCAAATGACGAGAATGTCTAATCTTTCACTTGGGAACTTTTATGATTGTTTAAATACATTGATGTGGAACTTTTAAAGATGGAGACATTTCTTAAGTGCAATGTCTCGAGTTCCATCACAAATTTTTTGGTTAAGCTTGCTTATAGTGAACTCCTTTTGAATTTGTACGAAGACGGCTAAATCTAGGTTTGTTAGTTGAAAGTTTACAATATGTTAATTGTTGATGGTTTAGGCTATCACAAATTATGTTTGAGCCATAAACAATTGAAACATGGTAATTAAGTGTTATTATTAACTTGATGTTTTGTCATGGTCACCGACTCTAGAACTCATTTGAGAGAAAGAACAACCTGATGGAACTAACTCTTGATTATTTGAGGTCCTCTTATGACGCGGGGCTTATGAGCTGAATCATGTGGTTCAACAATAGGAGAGCTGGTCCAATAGGGAGGCTAGACCAGTCGGTCAACTATTGACGGGAACTACCGCCCGCCCCTTCCCCCTTTCCCTTCTATCTACCTATTATAAATATGTTGCTTGCAGAGTTAGGGTTTATTCTTGGTCTTCCTGATTTGAATTTGTTGTCTCCAAGCGTTTCCCGCTGCTAGGGCTATATCTGATGACAAGTGGTGCTCCGACTGAATCCTGCTATGAGGTGTGACGATCTCAACCTTTCCTCCACTCACTCCTACGTCGGGTCGCCATCTCACAGCCGACTCTTGACCCTCCAGTTTTTGGCATCCCCCCCTCCCCACAATCTCCAGATGCTATTACTCAGCTTTGGCCGAATATTAATGTGTTATTGTGTTTTCATTTTTGTTTGAGTGGTGCTTGTAACCCTAGTTGTTTTTTGCTTAATGATATTTTCTTTTTTTATGGTTTTGACTAATTTTAGTATCATTTGGTATCAGAGCTAGTTTAACTCTAGTCATATCCTAGAGTTTCCTAGCATCTGCCTTACCCCTCGACTAATTTTTTTTTTCTTTCCCATTCTCAACCACCCTTTCAAAATTCAAATCCTAATCATGCCACCATGGAGATATATTCTGGAGTCTACCCGGAGCAAGATACAACCGTAGATCCGTCTGATTCAACAAGAGGCTCGCAAAGATTGTTTATGGAACCTAAGAGGAGATTATCCTCGATCGTGATCTGGAGAGTTGAAAAGGAGACAATGACGATGATATGAATCCGTTCCACAGGGCATACATCGATGACTAGGAATACCGACCTCGTCGCTTTAGAATGCAATATCCGAGAAGGTAGAAAGAAGAGCACTAATGGGGGACACAAAGATTTCAACATCAAAGTGTATCTACCACAGTTTGATGGAGGTGTGTATCCAGATGATTTATCAACGGACTGCAATCTATTGAGTGAATTTCCAAATATGAGGAAATACCAGAAGATAAACAGGTAAATTAACAACCATAAAGTTGAAGAAGAGCGCCTTCTTGTGGTAGGTGAACTTGCAGGGCAGAGGAAGAGAGAATGTAGTGATAAGACTACAAATTGGGAAAAGATGTAGAGGAAATTCCTTCCATTTCATTGCCGAATGGCATGTTTTTGAGACTCTACCACTTGCAGTAGAGAAACCTTTCAGTGGAAGAGTTCATAACATAGTTTGACCAGTTGCAGATGTTGTCTGAGTTGGTTGAGCTAGAGGAATACACCATACCTGGTACCTAGGTGGTTTGAAGCCCGCTATTTGAAATGTTGTGCAGTCACAACAATATAGATCGCTGTGGGATGTCGTAACTTCAACCTTAAAGTTTAAAATATAATAGAAGCAGAGCAAATATCAATCTCATTCAGACAAGCAACAATCCTCATTCAATAGCCCTTAGTCAGGCAATCTTCCATAACAACTGATAAGGGCACCTTTGACGGAGTTGGTAGGATAGAGCAGGGAGTGATAAGACAGATCTGAGTGGAAAGAAGCGGAAATGGGTGGTTCGTTTAGTACAATGCATGTCAGAAGTGTTTCAGATGCCATAACTAAGGACATATGCTCCAGCTGTACCACCAGTCAAGTTGTTTCATTCACATATAAGGGCGTCATCGAGGAGGTGTAGGACGAGGAATCAAAGATAGTTTAGAGGAAGAACTTCAGCTCCAGGGTGATGAGGGAGAGATGTTAGTCATATGTAGAGTTTTATCGTAAGAGCCGAAAAGAGATCTGTCATAGCTAAGGCACAATATCTTTCGCACCAAGTGTATGGTGAAGCACAAGGTTTGCAGTTTGATTACCGACAATGAGAGTTGTGAAAATGTGGTGTCTACGTTGATGGTGACGAAATTGGGATTGGCCATGCAGTCCTCTGTTCTATTCTCTTAACTGGTTGAAGAAGAGAAATGAGATACGTGTAAATCAACAGTGCTTGGTTGAATTTTCAATTAGGGATCAGGTACAATAGCAACTGGTGCATTGTGGTTTCGATGGACGCATGCCACATTTTGTTGAGGTGGTCGTGGCAGTGCAACCATGAGATTGAACACGAGAGCTTTAAGAATACTTACTCTTTTAAAAATGATTGGAAACAAATCGTGTTATTATCTGTTAAGGATGTAAGAGGTGTAAGCCACATCGATGAGACTTTAGTCTCAAGGGCCACCTTCATAAAGTCAGTTCGGGATGCTCCAGTGGCAATAACATTGGTCCTTTAGAGGGAATTAAGGTGAGTGAGATACCAACACCGCTACAATCGCTACTACATGACTTCCAGGATGTGATGACTGACACTGAGAGACATATAGCACACCATAGATCTCTTATCTGGATTAGTGTTGCTAAATTGGACTGTCTACAGATTGAGACCTGCAGAGTAAGATGAGTTGCAACGATGAGTATAAGATCTAGTCACGAGGGGATTGATTAGAGAGTATCAATCCGTGTGTTGTCCCTGCCAAATGACACCCCCTGATGGTACCCAAGAAGGACGGTTCGTAGCGAATGTGCTTTGACTATAGGGCCATCAACATGATTACCGTTAAGTACTGGCTTCCCATTCCTTGCCTGGAAGACCTCTTGGATTAGTTGCATGGAGCCACCAACTTTTCCAAAATCAACTTACGCAGTTGGTACTATCAGATCAAAATGAGGCTAGGGGACAAGTGGAAGAATGCTTTCAAGACACGAGATGACTTGTGTGAGGGGACATATGCTCTTTAGATTGCCCAAAATTTTTATGAGGTTGATGAATTAGTTGTTCCAAGACTGCATTAGGAAATTTGTGATGGTATACATCGACAAGGCTAGTGGGTACTATCAGATCCGACTGAGGCTAGGGGATAAGAGGAAGACTGTTTTCAAGTCACGGGATAACTTATACGAGGGGGCAATTATGCTCTTCAGATTGTCAAACGCACCCAAAACTTTTATGAGGTTGATGAATCAGGTGTTCCGAGGCTATATTAGGAAATTTATGGTGGTATGCATCGACGATATGCTGGTATACATGCGATCTGAGGAGCACTTACAACACCAAGGGCGATATTCGGTGTGTTGCGAGCGGAGAAGCTATATGCCCATTCAAAAAAGTGTCACTTTGTGACGGCCCAGGTATGCTTGTTCGGTTATTTTGTGTCTAGATCAGACATTCAGGTGGATCCTACAAAGATTGAGGTCATTGTGAGCTAGAACTTTCGGCTATTTTGTGTCTAGAACAGACATTCAGGTGGATCCTACAAAGAATGAGGTCATTGTGAGCTAGAACTATCACTACCCAACCAGGGCTTGGAATTAACCAAGGCGGGTACAAACGATTAGAAGTTGTGAAATAAATTTTCTATATTAATCTAGAATTTAACAATTGAAAGAATCATTAATTAAAATAAATTAAAGCGGTACAATTAATGTCTCCTCATTACTGGTTGCCCGCTTTTTCTAAAAATATTTTCTCTTATATTGCTCGTCTGTTTGTCAGATAAATTAACCTGAAAAGTTGGTTTCAAAATAATAGTGAACTAAACAAGCAGTGAATTTTCATACTCATAAACTATAGTAATATAAGGAAGAAAGAAGTAATTTGCATGCCAGTTGAACTTTTTAATAAATCAATATAAATATTTGATTTTATTCAAAAAGTTATTATATCAATAGTATATCAATATCATTTTGTATTTATACAATCGTTATTGGAGCACCGTCTAAAAGTTTGTATTAATTAAGATACTCAAATATCAATATCATTTTTCATTTACGTACAATGGTACATTAGTGTACGCCCTCTATTATCATCAAGGAGTGACTCCATCATAGTCAATCATGCACACGCAAACATACTTCAAATCATTTCATCTATATTCTAAAAATCACATGTATAGTAAATAAGTATAACCATGTAAATCATTCACATTCATTTCTAAATGATAAAATTGAATAATAAAACAAAAAAAATCATATTCTAAT